ATGATTGGATCTCCTGTGAGCCAGCAGCTGGAGATGGTGGGGAGGAAGAACGTTCTTTTAACAGGAGATCTTTAGTAGAACCGGGGTCAGGGAGAGGCAGTTATCTGCTTTTGAACTTGAAGGGAAAGAAAAGAGAAAAGATGAGCGTGCAGTAGAGGGAGAGGTGTTTGTAGTTTAGTTTCAGGGCATTTAAATTCACCTACAGACCGCATGCATCCAAAGACACACACAGTTGTGTTAATGCAGCCTGCGTTAACAGTCTCTGTTTATAAGGTTTATGCTAGCTGCTGTCAGTGTATTCATAGTGAGTTAGTGGTTGTTGGAGAAGATGTGGAAAATGTGATATCGTGACAGCTCTGCAGAGGCAAGGTTAGCATAAAAATTTCTGTGTGACTGAGGATGGACTCAGTTGATCCCTGAGAACAACCTAAACATACCTAATGAAATAAAAGAGAAGAATAAACTCCTAACTCAGCAAAATAGAAGAAATAGAGGATTACACGGAGATGCCACCCACCTCTACCAAACCTGGACTGTTGCATTGTTGGGCAGATATCAGTTAACATCCTACACACAGGCTGAGTGACGAGTTCGCTTGCTGGCTGGAGGTGGAAAGAGGAGAGCCCACAGAAGCTGGAGGGGAGCCAGCGTTCAGGCGTCAGGCCTGCAGCGAGCTAAAACAGCAACCAATCAGCCGACCTGCATCCCACAGATATGAAAGCAGAGTCATCCTGGAGGTAGAGCGAGATCAGCGTGAACATGCACAGGAGCCTGGACAGCAGTACCAGTGTGTTTACACCACCGATTCATCACCCAGTGGTTTTATTTGTCTGCTGTAATAACTGTTCCAGTTTACATGAAATCTGCATGGAGCCTTCTGAGACACAGCTGATGGTGTCATAGAGGCTCATCGGTCAGAGGCTTTATATTCAATAAACATCTGTTTCCATTAAAAACACACTGACTGTAAACACAGTAAACACAGCACTAAAGGAAAAACTTTGCAGCTGTTCCAAACTTTTCTCTTTTGTTATCCAACTTATGCAAAATGGCTCGTTTTCTATATAAAGACAGTGTGAATCATTTGCCACTTTATGTAACGCAATTGTAGTCAGGCATGCCAAACGGTTGGATCTAAAGCATGGACTGACCTTGTATTGGAGGCCAAACTCCCACTTTGCCTCCGTGTCTTTATCTGCTTTATCAATACTGCACGAAATACTGCGATGTTTCACGGCAGA